AACAGTGGTAGGAATCATGCAGTGGGACAGCAGGGAGAATCTTAGGGCTCTGGGGGTGCCCCATGGACAAGTTTGTGACAATATGCTTACCTTTATAAACAGTGACGTCATTCTCTCTGACGTATTATAATATCTTGAAACGCTGTGAATCATTCTTATAGCATTAATCAAATTTTGTATTCCATGTGCCATGGATACCTAAAATTTTTAAACAAAATTTCACTTCTCTGTTCTTAAGTTTTTTTTTATTCTCAACTTATAATATATATTTATTAGATGATCAAAACCAGCTCACATCTTGCACACACAAAAAATTTATTAGAAAAGCAGTCAGGCATACCAAATTATTACTAAAGTAATTTGGTAATAGTAAAACATGTAAAATTTGTACATAATCTGGTGTGACAGAGAGCCTGGGGCACCCTGTCATTTTAAGGGATAAGCAGCCTAAGAAGAGCCCTGCAGAACAGGCAGAGTGCCACTGTAACTGGGCTGCCATAGAAATGAGATGCACCTGCAGGTAACCCTGGGGAGTCACCTGACTGGAAGAGGGCAGGGCCCTGGGGAAGATGCAAGGCAGGGCCAGAGGTAGATCAGGCAGTTTGGCTCCAGAGACTGAACAGGGAAGAGCTCTGTAGAAGTGTCTGTGGCTGAGAGGCAGATTGTCAGTGTGCTAGGCCGAGAGACAGCTAAAGAAAGGCTGAAGGATAGCAATGAATTAAGACCAATGGCTGGGTAGGAGTTTGTGTTATACAATGAATTAAGACCAATGGCTGGGTAGGAGGTTGTGCTAAAACCAGAAGGGCTTATATTTTGGTTGCTGTTAGATCTGATGCCTGAGGGGGACCAGGAGAGTCCAGCACCCAGGGAGGACTAGGTACTTAAGTGAAGATCTGGTGGTTTCGACAAGACTGTAGGGGTGGTTTTGGAGGACCCATAGAGGCCACCAGAGGCAATTTTCATTAGCACCTAAGAGGCATAGACTTGGGGGGCAGAGGACCCAGAGCCCAAGAAGGGTAGGACTTGGACTTGGGGGCCAGAGGGCCCAAAGCCTGGAGTTGGGCAGAAACTGGGCCTAGGGCCCAGACAGTGAGAGCCCAGGGAAGCTCAGCAGCCCAAGAGAGGGCAGAAATAAAGGCCTTGGAAGGCCAGACAAAAAGCTGGGGTCTGGTACAGTGGACTAGAGCTAGAGAGAGTTCAGCAAGTGAAAAAGGGGTGGAGACCATGAAGGCCAAAGCCTAACACACAAAACAACTGAGGCTCGCTCTAGGTCCCTCAGCCAGCTTCCCTCCCAAAAAATATTAACATCAAAGGCATGACGGGTTAGTAAAGGAGGTAAGGACCTCAGAGGTGGAGCAGGAGCAGTAATTGCATGACCACTCCCCGTTAGGAGTCATGAGAGTTGCCCTGGAACCTGAATCCGTCACATCTGGTCAATGGTCAGATCAGAGGTGCAGACATTTTTACCTCTCAGTGGGCACATCTACACAAGACACTTTATTGCACAGTAGACCAACTTACTGCGCAGTAAAGAATTACCGTCTAAATGTGTGCATCATTTACTGCAGTAAAATAGTCTAATATGAAGTTGGCTAGTACCTGTAGATACAGGTAGATTTACTGTGCAGTAGCTACTGTACATGTAGACAGCTGACCAGAAGCAATTTGCTCCCGGTCAGCCCAGGCAGCAAGGGCAAAGGAATGTCCCCACACTGGGCAGCTGCCTACTTCCCAGCTCTGTGCCCCAATCTCCAAATAGGGGCGCGGGGCTAGGAAACAGGCAGCTGCCCATGACAGGGGACAGTTTCTCTACCCCATGATGCTGGGAGACAGGCAGATGCCTGGGGTAGGGGACTGTTTCCTAGCCCAATCAGGGCACAGGACTGGGAGGCAGCTCCCTGAAAGCAGGACAGCTCCCACTGCCCCCCCAGAACTAGGCCTGACCCTGGTGCCCCCTGCCAACCCGGGGCTGGCACCCAGAGTAACCTGGAGCTCGCCCTACTCTTCCCCTAGCTATTGTGGAGGGGCAGAGTATCCCTGCAATGAACTTCCCCCAGCAGGTGCATGTGTCTAGGTTACCATATTTCCAGTATCTAAAAATAGGACACCCGGTTGTGGGGGGAGCCAGTGATATGCCCGGGACACTTGCTCCCATTTTAAAAACCCACCAGGACACGAGGACAGGGGGCCACAAAAGAGAACATCTCCAGGAAAACTTGGACATATGGTAACCCTAGTGTAGATGCCCTCCCAGGGAAAGCTTACTAAGCCTTATTTTACTATGCAATAAGTTTGCAGCGCATTAATAAGTTTAAAGCACATTAATAGGATGTGTAGATGTGCCCAGTACGATTACCTCCATGCCTATAAGAAGTAATATGCAACTAAATCACTTTCATCAAGCACAGACTATCTAAGAAAGGAAAATCTTAGATTATATACCAGGAAAGAAAACTTGAAGATGCTCAGTAGTAGAATTATCTCCCAACAAAGAGACACACCTTGGACTACTGTGCATTAACCAAAGAACTAAAAGCTAAGTATTCTATCTGGGCAGAAGAATGTACTATATGTCCAATTAGCATAGGTCTTCTGTCTGTAACTTCTATGATGTTTTCTTTAAGAAGACTTTCAAACTAGTAACTCTCACAGAAGTCTAAATTTGATGTTTACATGAACCTGTGAATTTGATGTCAGATACCTGGCACCATCTAGTGACACACTATGGTACTGAGGGAAGACTGCTCATTGTTAATCCTATTGATTAAAGCATGGATGGCCAACTGCCAGCATGTGGTGCCCTAAGTGACACAGGCAGCTTCTCTGTGTGGCATGTGGCAGACCAGGTAGGAGACAGGCAGCACAACAGAAAATAGGGAAAGAAGCAGAAAGAAGAGCAGAAATCAGACAGGGGAAGGGAACTGTGTGGCAGTCAGGGAGAGCGAGGGACTAATTTTGTGTCACATCTGCCAAAAAGTTTGACTCCCACTAGATTAGTTTCCTCTACTCCCATTTTATGCACTTTATATGGGAACAGCCACTATGGACAGCACTATATCTTTATTAAGCAGAAAGTAAATATATGCTATATATGATTGATGGGCAAGTCCTAGACAGAAACTTACAAGAAAATACTTAAAGCAACATTCCCTGGAGTTCAATAGGAGCCGAATGGGAAAAAGTGGATACAACAAACAAAGCTAAGCAACCGTTTTTTTCCTAGTTGCATTCCTCCTTCTTCTATGTCAACTGAACAGACACATGTGGCAGCCTTCAGGTAGGTCATACAGACCTGGCAAAGAGAATCAATTCATTATATCCTGTACTGTATGCAAGAAACAAGACTAGTTGGTAGCTTTGCAAACAGAAGAGGCAGATATCTTAACTTGTCATATCAAGATATTACCTGAGATTAATAATACATATGACACAATTAGGATTCATAATTGGAACACAAAAGAACAAAATGCAATCTTTCAACCAATAAGGGAACCACAAGAAGAAACACATCAGATAACTAAAAAAGAAACCAAAACCTAAGCCGAGCATATATTATTTTCAATATGTATACAATCTTGTGTCTCATTTTAATATCTCATTTTCACATCTAAAGTGGGTATAGGTTGGAAAAATACCTTTATTATTAATATATTTGTCCCCTGCATAAGAAATGCAATGATTCCACAGCTATTTCTTTCCCCATCACCTAGAGTAAAATTGTCTAAACCTAAGAGTAGGTAGGAGATGATAATTACAGTATTTCTAACAAGCACTCGCTGGCTTCCTCCAAGAAACACGCTCATATGCCAGCTGTGTTTAAACAAGCTATAAAGTTGATAAAGCTGAGTAAGACTCAAGATAGACATTTTGGTCTCTTGAGAGACTCCTACAATTGGGTCTTTGAGCATGGAGACTATAGTGATGTCCCTAAGGTCATCACTATATTAGGTGATAATATATATAAATAATATAAATATATAATATAATATAAATATATATATTTTAAGAAAACCAGAAGTGACTAAACCATTATAGAACCCTGCAGGATCAGTTCTTACAGATAATTATTTTGGCTGCCTTATATAAGGTGAACTAATCACCTCTTAGAGACGTTTATCAATGTCACACTACTAGAGAAATATGGAATAACAGGCTCCTTTATTTACATGACATTTTCCCAGGAAAAACCACAAGTGTATAGCTGTTCATTTTTTTCTCCAAGAGCAAAATTGGCTGCTATGAGAGAAAAATAACTTAGGAACATCCTGAGTGACATTCAGCCTGTTCTGCTCAGTGGACTTTAAACATATGCATGTACTTTGATGCCTCCATCATTAATATTGTCCAGACCTTTTGGTATCTACTTTTGTTTAAATTAGGGATAAAATCATTCACTATTTTATGAATCACACATATCTAATCAACTGTGAGAGAGTCTGCCTTCTCCCAACTGAAGAGGGCTTTGCTCAGTCAGTGACAGGGCATGCAGGGTCTGCTGGGTCAGTGACGGGGGCAAGGGGCCTGTGCCTGCCCCATGCCCAAAGTCCTCCAGCCTTGAATTTCCTGTGCCATTTTTCTATGATTCTATGATTTCCAGATGGAAAGTTAGGGCTGGAAGGGACCTCAGGAGGTCATCCAGTCCAACCCCCTGCTCAAAGCAGGACCAACCCCAAATAGATCATCCCAGCCAAAGCTTTGTCTAGCCAGGTTTTGTAAACCTCCAAGGATGGAGCTTCTATTACCTCTCTGGGTAACCTGTTCCACTGCTTGACTACCCACCTAGTGAGAAAATTCTTCTTAATATCTAACCTAAACTTCCTTTGCTGCAACTTGAGACCATTGCTCCTTGTTCTGTCATCTGCCTCCCCTGAGAACAGTCTAGCTCCATTCTCTTTTGAACCCTGCTTCAGTTAGTTATAACTAACTGTTAATAGTTTTATATTATAAAACTGTTAATAGTTTTATAGCAGTTAGTGGGACTGCTATAAAATCCTCTCAGTCTCCTCCTCATGACATGAAGAGCCAAACAAGATGGAAATCCTTCCATCTTCCCGCGATATGTGCAAGTACAGACAGAAACCACACTGCTTTTCAGACATCTCTTCAGCCAAAAGATCCTGCAAATCTGCCTCTATGAAATGTACCATACTAGGTCCAAGTTCCAGAATGATGGTAGCATTAAAAAAACAAAACAAAACCTCTTGTCATTCATACCTGGCTGGACTGATGACTACCCATGCCTACCAACTGAAAAAGAAAACCAGAACCCATTTTTATAGGAGGATGGAAGAGAGGAAGCCTTGCCTAGAGTACAAAGGTGGAACATATGACACACAGATTTAAATTCGCTGCGCTGCCACAGCTTTTCTTTGTGATCTCAGTAAGTCTGTTCTCTGATTTTCCTGCCTCACAAGGGTATCGCATACTACAGTAATAGGGGTTTTTAAGTAACTTAGCTGGCTCTCCCTTATCTAGAACAAAAAGAAGGAATAAAAACATGCACAGGAAATGAATTTCAGTAAGATTACTTAGTAGTGAGAGCCAAGAAAAAGTCTAATTGCTGAACTTATTGAAGGCACAAATTAAACATGATTTTCTTATGTAACTCCAGGAAACTTCCCAAATTGCTTGTATTTCTTTGCTCATGTTAATGGAAATGATTACTCCAGACAAGAAGGTTGTATCTAATTGAAGGGCTGTCTTAATGGTCTGTAAAAAATGACTGAGGAAAAAGATTCGCTAAGCTGCAAAAGCAGCAAGAAATCTGGCATTCACTATAACAGTCACTATCCAAAAAACATTTTACTGGCAAGTATATTTAATTTGGTATCTACACGAGATCCCTAGTCCTCTCAATCTGATTTTTTCCTGTTTTGAGACAGTTTAATCATATAATTTTCTGTTCTTCTTCATCCTTTTGACTTCTTCTAATGAATAAATAGATCTTTATGTACAACAAAGCCAAGATACAACTGCAAGGTTATGTTGACCCATGCTGAATGTTGGAACATGCTGAAATAAGGCTTAATTTATAGGCAAAGAAGGTAAAGTATAATCAGGTCTAATAAAACAATAGTTTAAAAATTCAAAGCTAGATTAGTATTTAGAAAAAATATTCTGAAGTAGAAGTCATCATAAAGAAGCTTCTGTCTTAAAGTTCACTGTTTTCTGCACATCCTACATGAAGATTTTACTAGGGGTGCACCAATAAAGATTTTTTTTTGGCTGATACCAATAGCTGATTGATTATTAACTAGCCATATTTGTCAATACCAATCCAATAACTGATATGCAGCCCAGCAGCTTGGAGAGCAGTGTCCAGCCAGTAAGTCTGTGGTGGGGGAAAAGGGAATGGGAGGGGCGGGTGGGGGCAGATCAAGGTCCTAATGGTGAGGAAGAGAATGGGGCAGGGGTAGTAGGCACTGCCTCACTGGGGCGGGGCGGGATGGTGCGTGAGACAGAGCCACAGCTCGTCCACAGGGTGTGGGGGAGTGGGGGCAGCACCCTGCCACAGTGTGCACCCCTGGAGAAGGCATGGGGGGCATGTGCCTCCTGGATTTGTGCGTGGGGTGAGGTCAGCCAGCTGCGGGCTCAGGGCCAGGGTCTGCTCCAGCCTCTTCTCAGCGGAGACACTGGGTCAGGGCTGCGCTCAGAGCTGGCAGGGGCGAAACAAGCGGTGATGGCACTGGGTGGGGGGCCCTTCCCTCCCCCATGCTCCTTCCCCCCCACCACAGATTAACTAGCAGAACGCAGCATTTATCACTACCAAAAAAAGCTAATTGTCAATAATGTCAATTTTCCTTTTATTGGTGTTGATTCGATATGGACCGATATATTGGTGCACCTCTATATTTTACACTATATACTTGAAAATCACAAAGGATAGAATTACCAGATCATAATTGTAAAGTGGCTGACAAACTTTTTCAAGTGTGTATAAATATCTCACGTTGTCTTTTGATTCATTTGCTGTATCTGTGATTCTGGCATCCAGCTCTCTCCATATCTAAACAGAGAAATACAGTAAAAAAAAAAAAAAAAAAAAAAAAAAAAAAAAAAAAAAAAAAAAAAAAAAAAAAAAAAAAAAAAAAAAAAAAAGTTTTGAATCACAGAATCATAGAAGTTAGGGTTGGAAAGGACTTCAGGAGGTCATCTAATCCAAACCCCTACTCAAAGCAGGACCATCCCCAACTAGGTCATTCCAGCCAGGGTTTTGTCAAGTCAGGCTTTAGACACCTCCAAGGATTGAGATTCCACCACCTCTCTAGGTAACGTGTTTCAGTGCTTCACCACCCTCCTAATGAGAAAGTTTTTCATAATATCCAATCGAAACTTCCCTTGCTGCAACTTGAGACCATGTCTCCTTATTCTGTCATCTGCTACAACTGAGAACAGTCTAGCTCCATCCTCTAGGTAGTTAAAGGCTGCTATTAAATACCCCCTGGGCACGTCTACATGAAACACTTAATGCTCATTGGACGAATTCTACTGCGCATTAGCATGTCATGCAAAAACCATGCTAATGTACTAATGCACAGTAATTAGTACAATGGGCATTAAGCATCACCTAAAAAGCGTTTATCTGCACTAATGCACAGTAGCAGCCGTAATTAATGAATTTGCAGACATGCCCCCTCAGTCTTCTATTCTGCAGACTAAATAAACCCAGTTCCCTCAGCTTCTCCTCCTAAATCATGTGCCCCAGCCTCCTAACCATTTTTGTTGCCCTTCACTGGACTCTCTCCAGTTTGTCCATATCCTTTCTGTAGTGTGGGGCCCAAAACTGGATAAAGTACTCCACATGTGGCCTCACCAGTGCTGAATGGAGGGAAAGAATCGCTTCCCTAGATCTGCTGGCAATGCTCCTACTAATGCAGCCCAGTATACAGTTAGCCTTCTTGGCAACAAGGGCACACTGTTGACACATATTCAGCTTATTGTCCACTGTATAGAGATTATTTACCCCAACCAGGGATTGAACCTGCAACCTTGATATTATTAGGACCATACTTTAACCAAATGAGCTTGTTAAAAAAGTTTCCTCAAACACAAGGACTACCATTTTCAACTGGGAAGTTCAGGGAGATGCACCCAGCCTTGAACTCTTAACCTTCTGATCCCTAGCTCACCACACAAGCCCCTTGGCTACAGAGCCCAGCCTTGAACCAATCAAGGCAGAGTTGAAAAGAATGGAGAATTACCTTCAATTGTTTAGAATGTGCAATATTTAAAACATTTATGACAGATTTGCAGCTTGGTCCTTTGATCTGTTCAATAATAAAATTAAATTTAGCAGACGTGCGTTTCCAATGCTCTAGCTCAGTCAGCGGCCCTGAATCATCAGCTTCTTTTCTCATCTGCTCACTCTCAATCAAAACCTACAACCAATAATTTTAAATGTAAAAAAAAAAAATAAATTGCATTTCTAGTTTATATATTTCATATTGTATATAACTATCAGTGATAGATATACTACTTCTAATTTAAAAATAAAACATGAACTCTGTTCTCATATGTATTTGATTTCTTATACCAGAAATATCCATCCATAAATAACAAACAGCTGGGCTGAAGACATTCAGGATGCAGTGAGAATCAACCTTTTTGACAGGGACACCACAAATTAGTCCTGCACTATCCAAGTGCCACTCTGATTTCCTTCCTCTGTGTGATCTGCTACTCTGCTTCTGCTCCCCACTCTGTTTTCCCTGATTGATTTCCTACTCTGGCTTCTGCTTCCTGCCTTGTCTGCTGCTGTGCTCCCTACTCCTTCTCTCATCTGCCACATGCTACCCACAGAGGCTCTGAGCCACTTATGGCATACATGCTGCATACTGGCCACCCCTGCTTTAGAGATGGGATACAGCATTTCAAAGAATAATTCTATTTAAAACAAACAAACAAACCACACTATCATACACTGAAACTTCGGCCAATGAGACACGAAATGAGCACTTAAGTACTGCCGTAAGCTGGGATGAGCTAAATCGTGCATTTACATGATTCCGTAAGAGTTTGAGTTTCAGTGAAGCTAACTAATTACTTTTAAAAAAACCTGGGGAAGATAATTATTTAATTAGAAACAAAACTTTTTATATGTTTTTCTTTTGTTGGACAGTCCATTTGACACGGTGGATTCAGAGAACACAGATGAAATTAGCAAGAGTATCAACAGTACATTGCCAACTGATAAAAACTTGCAGAAATGTGAGGCTTGACAGACTTTAATGGGGGAAGATCATTAACTGGCAAGAAGTGCCATCTTTCCATAAAGAGAGATGGTATTTGGTCTCTATAGACCAAATATCAGTATGTGCCTATAGGTGTGTGGATGTGTAAAATATGTATGTTCCCTTGTCTTATTCTCCTCTCCTTCCTATCGTTTTGTATACCACAATGATTTAAGACTATACAGATTATTAAAGAACTTATTGGTTCTGTCTATTGGGATATACATTTTAAGATAACTTACTTGTTCGATCTGCTTATACCATATCATAAGCACATCCTCTAGCTCATGCACTGTATCAGGATTAGCAGCTGCTGCTGCGACTTCCTCAAAGGACTGGAGTTTAGAAAAGTCAACAGAATCTACTTTTTTTAACTCAACAGTTCCTTTAATGCTTATTGTAGCACCTACGATAAAAAAATTAAAATGAAGAATATGCTCAAACCCTGTTTGTTTCTAGCAATCCAAAGCACTTCATTTCAGAAATAAAACCAATAATCAATTTTGCTGCTACAAAATAATTATTTTACTTGGCTCACAAAAAAGTAATAAAAAAAAAAAAATGAAAATTGTGATCATAAATACTGTGCTAGCTCCTTCCTTAAAAATGTCATGCCATGCAAACTGAAGCCTATCAAGTAACAACATTGGTATGTACATTGTATTTTCCTTGTAGAATGGGATTATATTTCTTTAATATGTTTAAGACTCTTTCTTTTAAAAGGTAACCCCTTAAATGGAATGATTTACTTAATCTGTTTCTTACCATCTAAAAATGAAAGATATCTGTTAATGGTTTCTGTAAAATTCTGTTTTTCATATGTTCCCTGTTTGGTTTGATTTAAAGCACCCCAATTGTTTGTTGCAAGAATAGCTGGTAGAAAAATCTTTGATAGCATATTCCTAACACCAAGTAGAAGTCCTTCAGTAGCATCCAATGTACAAAAATATATCTCCTGTAAAAGAAAATACAATTATTATAAGCAATGCAACAGATTTTCCTGGAAACACTTTTTTTAAAAACATGGAAGGTTTGCATATAGATCAATTTAAATTTAAAAATATTACAACAAAAACATTGTTTAGGAAAGGTGTTGTTTATTTTGAAATACCGACATACATAAGAATATGTAACAGTGTTATTGATTTTTATCTCATACACAACAGATAAGAAACTATTCTCTGATGATTCAGTACATTTTTAATATAGTATACACTATTTAAGAGACCCATCGGTAGAGCAAAGAGCCATTTAAATCATTCAAAATACACTAGCCATTTGCCAAAACCCATTCATTTCAATTTTAAGTGCCACTTAAATCTTTGTGCTAATAGCTGAACAAGTAGCCTAATTTTAGCTGCTGGCACCTAGAACAGGACCCTCCACCTCTGCAGGTGGCTTGTCTGCACTAGTCCTGTCTCTCTCTGGTCTCTATTACCCAAATACCTTGTCTGCCACACCCTGATGTTAAAATGAATATAAATTTAAGATGCTGCCCTCAGGTTATCAGACTGGGGCTTGAGCTGCCACACTCTGCCCTACTCATCATGGGGCTGCCAGTCAGTCCAATCCTTCAATACTAGTCCTGAGCAGGGCTCCCTATAATTCAATTACCAGTCTCTATGGATAGCCCTCAGTCTCTCTGGGTGCTCCAACCTTTCCAAAATTTCTAGGTGACTTTCAAATCACCATTTTTAAATTAACCCCTTACCCTTACAAAAATTTTCCCAATATAAAACTTGTGGTCAATATTGGGACTACACACACTGTTAAGATCCTATACTATATCTGACTATCTACCAGTGCTTTCTTTCTTTTGAGACCTAATAATCTAGACTTTTTAATGGTATAAACTGTATTATTTTAAATATTACTATTTATTATTCGTTTAGTACTAATATACATAGTAGTGCTTTAAAATAAAGATGGATTTCCTATCCTAAGAGTCTGAAATTGCAATGAATTACTAGATAAACCTATACAGACTTGATTTTCATTTATGCTAAGGCCCCTTAACACTGTTAGAGTACTATAAAGAGGCTTTAGTGTAGATGAAAATCAGGCCAAAATATTTTTACTATCAAAAGAGTAAAATAGAAATGTAGATTCTAACACAATCTACTAAGGCTAAAATTGTTTTTGGCATCCCATAATGATGTAAAGGAGGAACGAGTCAAGCAATCTCTTCCTCTCCTTGCTTTCTTCGTGCTGCATGTACTTGAGCTTAGAGATTTCCTTGATATCTCTAATATTGATTGTGACTTTAACTTCTTCAGAGACAGTAAGGAAGGAAATAAGGAGCAAATCAATGTAGCTGGTAGCATATGCAACCCTTTCGTAAGGATATCTCACTTGTGCTTGCTAGGAATATGCCCATTTCTAAAGTATTCAAGGAGTGTGTATTCAAGTATGCCCCCACAAAAAGGAGAGTATAGAGAACTTTGTGCTATGAATCAACAGTCAGGAAAAAAATATGAGGTGCTACATTATAATGCAATAACAATATGAACCTGATATACAACATCCTAACTTTAATTCTGGGTATAACCAATATAAGAACCATAAAAATGAGAGAGTACCTCATGCATAGTTTTTGCATTTACAGGGGTGTCATTCTTATAACGAGTGAAGAATAAACAGAGTCCTTTGAACTTGTCTGGTGTGATATCGACATACAATCTCATAATTTTAGTTCCTTTTACAACTCCTGGAATTGTTCGACCACATTCTGAAAATAAATTAAAGCATATTAGTATTTTTTTTAAAATCCAAGTGTGTGTGTGGGCAAATATAGGTACGTAATACTGTGGTAAGTAATACTGGAGGTAACTGGGTAGTGACATGGGGAAAGACTGGTCCCAACCCCAGACCAACTAAACAACTCAGTCTCTACTATAGCAGATGTGTCAAGGACCCTTTGGAGGGTGCCAACAGTGGCACACACTCAAAATAACAGCAGCAGCATCTTCTGCCACATCTACAAGACAGTTTTCTAACTGGAGACAGGCAGAGGGAACAGATCTCCTTGACACCTAGGGTGACAAGAACACATACAGCTCACTCTGCACATGTAAATGCAGTCAGGCTTTCTATGAGCACATGATTTTAAAAACGGCCCCCTTGGGACACAGCCATAGCTGGAACTAGTGTCACATCAAGCCAAAGTGCTGAACACATGAGACAACAAAGCCCAAAAGACCAATAAAGTAGTGGACACTTGGAGGGCTTTTTGGACCTAATACAGGCAACTGTCTCAGATTCTAGCAGGCATAAATGACTTAAGAGTATGACTTCACTGTTGATTCCAGGGTTAATGCTGAGGCTGAAAAAGGACTCAGGGAAATAAGACCTGAAGGATCAGGAAGACCCTTTGGTTCCAGACCTGCCACAGACAAGGAGCAGGATGACTTTGGAAAGTCCCTTCTTCTGTTCAGGAACACTGAAAGGGAGGTTCCTGATGTCACTAACATCGAATATCACATCCACCTGACAACACCGTTGATCTTACACCAGGCCAACTCATCAATATCACATCTCACAGTCTCCTTATCCACACAGCTGAGTATTCCCTCCATATTCCTGCTACCCAACCCCAGGTGACAGCTTGAAGCTGCCCAAAAGCACATGGCCCTGCACTGTGCTGAGTCAGGCTGCAGCAGCACACTGTGGCAGAGGCTGTGCCGATACCTGGCAGCTGGGACCGAGCCGCTTTGCCCCCCACGGTGCAGGGGGGCTGTGCCACAAGGCCAAGAGCGCAGTTGCTGTTGCTTGTAAGCTGTGGGGGGGATGGAGCTGGAAATTCCATCATGTGTTTGTAAAACAGCACAAATTGTGCTCTGTTACTCACAGGGGCATGGAGCAGCAGAGCATCCTGCAGGTGGCTGCACTCCCAATCAGGCACAACTGCCTGATTGGGAACAGGGCCCAGCTGTTGGTGATAAAAGCAGGCCCTGAGCCACGCAGCCAACAGTTTGTTGCTAGCAGACAAGGGGAGAACATCACCTGGCTGGACCTGCTGCTCAGACAACTTGGAGGTACAGGGCAGGAACTATGGGAATGACTGGAGGTTCCTGGTCCTGGGCCGTGACTTAAAACTACACCCTGCTGGGGCTGGATAGTGTGGTGGGACTGCTGGTGGCGGGGCAGTCTCCTGAAAATGCCACATCTGTATGTCCCCAGTGAAGGGTGAGCATGGAGTACCAGAAAGGCACAGCCCCTGCTGCCTTGTGGGTTGCCCCATAGAGGGGAAAGGCAAGGGGAGCACAAACCAAAAACAAAGCTCGGGCACAGGCTCACAGCAAGGCCTGAGGCAGGGCCCAGGTTGTGTGAAGGGACCTGAGGCAGAGCCCAGGCTCACAGTGAGTCCTTAGGTGTATGAAGGAGCTGGATGAGGGTCCAGGGGGTGGGGCCCCAAGCCCAGGAAGGAGCTGGCTGTAAAGCTCCTCAGGCAAGGGGATTCAGGCCCAGTGATGGGCAGGGGATGAGGCCCCAGGGTGAGGGCATGAGGGGACCAAGAGGGTCCCAAGCCAGGCAGGGAGCCCAAGGAAAAGGAAGGGCTGGGAGCCCCAAATGAGTGAGACTGAGAGCCCAGTGCGAGGACATATGAGTAAGAGTCCCAACGTGAGGCACTGGAGTGCAGATCCCAGTGCGAGGGCATGGGATTATAGGCCGGGTGTTAGGCCATGGATGCTATCTGCGAGACATGGGACAAGGTATAAGGGAAGGTTCGGAACCATGTATAGGCCCTTGGCATCAAGGCAAGTAAATGGGCAGCCTCCCACCTTATCAACTTTATATTGATATAAAGGCGTGGCAGATGAGGTAGGTGGGTGGTTAGCCCAGAAACAAGTGGGCATGCCAACAATTCAGCCAGCCCCGGGATGCTCACTTGTTACAGTGTTATCATATTAAGACTCGCATTATTTACTGGCAGGGATGAAATCTTGAGATCCATAGCACAGGACTGTTACTTGAGTTAAAAGAGTAACTATGGTAATAGGCTACCATTCTCTACGTGGACCAGCAGTAAAGAGTGAGGCACACCTGGCCAATAGGTTTCAAAGATCTTTGACAACAGCAGAGGAATAGTGAGACTTGGAAATCTTGGATTCCTTTCCAGGTTCTGATGTGCGTACACTCTGGTTAACATACATCTTCTGCCTATTTCCTAAAGCTTGGTACCTACTGCACCCTTCTCAGCAATTTGTCCCTGTTCCAATTTTGTTTTTTCCATTACCCAGTTCCTTGTCTTGTTTCTCCTTGCCAATACAGTCCCAATCTCCATTCCTCAGGCTTCTCATCTGAGTCTTTTTGAACAGCTAGTCCTAGTTTCCCTTGTGGGCTTCCCATCTAAAACCAAACCTCTTTACTTACTCCCAGTCTCTCCTTCCCATATGTCACGGCGGGGTCCTGCAGGAGGGCTGTGATCTCCTCAAGGCCCCCTTCCTGTGCCAAGTTGGCCCAAGGGCACCCTCAAATTCTCGCCCGCCACGTCTTTGATGACACCATATATTTGGGAGGCTACCTTTTACACCCTCTTGGTCACTTCTCGCTGGTTACTCAGACCCCTCGTGGGTCCCACTCTACAATGGGTGCTCCAGGGGCATCCTAGCCTAAGGGGCTATGCGTGGCTCCAACCACCCCTTTACAACGCCCCAAGCCTCGCAGATGGAATAGACGTTGTTAGATCTAGGTCTACGCCCTCTCTGGAGCTCGGGCTCTCCGTGCCTTCTCTCTGGCACTCGGGCTCTCCGTGGCCCTGTCTCTCTTCGCACCCCCTCTGCTGGGGCTTCTCCACAATGATGCCCCCCGCCCCGGGGCTTCTCCACAATGCTGCCCCCCCCCTCTCCTGGAGCCTTCTCCGTAATGCTGCCCCCTTCTCTGGGGCTCACCACAATGCTGCCCCCTTCTCCGGGGCTCACCACGCCCATACTGGGGACTCTCAGCAACGCCCCCTCTCTGGGGCTTCTCAGCTGCCCCTCTCTGGGGCCAGGGTCTGTGCACCCTGAATGCTGCACCCTTGCTGGCGCTGGGGTTCCCACACTGCTGTGGGTCCCCTATGAGGCCTCCTCCAACCCCTAGTAGCCTCACCCAAACCACCGGCGACAAACCGCAACACAAACGCAAGCCCTTCGGCTATAACTTAAACGGAAGCCACTTGGCCATAACAGCATTCAAGCCTACCGGGGAGTCTTCATCTCACAGCCATGTCAGATGCTGCTCCCGCATCAGGCCTCTCCTCTCTTCCACGACAGAGAGCTCCTTCCTCCTTAGTTGCTGGCAGGGAACTGCCTCTGGCCTCAGTCCCTAGGGTTTATAAGGGAGCCAGGCCCTGCCCCTTACAGTCAGCTGACTAGCTCCCGTTGCCCTGGCAATCCACAGCTGGGCTCCTTACTCACTTACTCACTGCTAGGGCTCCTTCCCTAGCAGTTTCCCCTCTTTAGGACCAGGGCACCTCCGTGCTCTGCGACAAAAGCCTTGATAATTGTGAATACTTCAAACTGCCCCAGCCAATCCAACTTCCCTTCATACCTTGACTTGCTATTCTCAACCCCCTTGTAGAGTCAATTCTTGTTCTCCATCTCCAGCTCATATTATCCATCTCTTTCCTCTCTTCTAGCCACCCAAATCATCGTGCCTGCCCAATTTTCCACCTCCTGCACCATATTCTAATCCCTGTCTCTTTTCCTAACCAGACCTTCTGCCCCAGCCAATCCAACTTCCCTTCATACCTTGACTTGCTATTCTCAACCCCCTTGTAGAGTCAATTCTTGTTCTCCATCTCCAGCTCATATTATCCATCTCTTTCCTCTCTTCTAGCCACCCAAATCATCGTGCCTGCCCAATTTTCCACCTCCTGCACCATATTCTAATCCCTGTCTCTTTTCCTAACCAGACCTTCATCCTAGAACTCCTACTCACAGTTTCTCTTCTTTGTCCCTGATTCCAAACTCATGATTATCAAGATACTAATTTCCCAATCTACAAATTTCCCTTCTCAACTCCTTTTCCCTCTGGGTCTGAGTCAAGAAGCTTCCTCCTCCATGCTGCCTGGGTGTCAGTGTCATTGAAAGGAAAAGAGAAATAATCCCTAAATTTTCAGTTCTAGTGCCCCAGCCCACTCAGCCAGAGCAGCAGTTAGATAGCAAACCAGGAATGAGACCTTCTTAAAGAAATGGCTGCCAGATTTTTTAATATAAAAAAAGAATGTTCTGTAGTTTTGTTCTCAAAAACAGATGGATTTTCAGACCGAAAATTTCTAAAGTAATTCAACCTGAGCCAGATACCCAGCAAAAAAATGTCAGTCCATGTATGGTTATAGATAAAGGCATTAATGACTGTGAAGAGGATCTTATAATGGGAAGATTTAAGTAACAGTAGATGGTACAATCAGCACACAAATTATGATAATGTTAAGAAAATAAAAGAATTTACCTACTCCTGGTGCATCTCCTTCTTGATACAAAAATTTCAATGTTCTATTTCCTCCTTTGGCAAAAAAATTATCGAATGCTGCTAACTGTTAAAACAAAAAGTGTATCACTGTAAATCAAATGCTGTCAAAATATTTCATTTATATTTATCTTAAAAACATACAGTGTTCTTTGACTTGTTCAAGGATTTGGTGACATGGGATAAGTGTTTTATTCTATAAGAGCAGGAAGATGAACTAGGTGACCAAATTGTTCTTTCCAAACTCTAACTTTATTTATCGGGAATTTAAAGTGAAAATAAAGAACCTGAATATAAATTTAAAGAAAAACAAACAAACTCCATTCTTGGCATTTGCTGGTAATTAATACACCCTGAGCATGATCTTTGAAAACTATTGTGTTAATGTAAAAGTGTGTTAAATAGCTATCTCCACATCATCCAAGCAAAAGTGAAAATACTACAAAAACAAAAGAAAAAGGAAAAATTAGTTGGCAATTAACTATGGCTCCCTGGAGTAGATGTAATGTACAGATGTGCACTCTTGTGTACATCTTCACACTCATACGGTTATAAATATATAACCTCAGAACACCAAATATCTCTGAGGCATTTATACTCATGTAAAGAGATGTAACAACAGTCTTCTTCCACATATATCAATTGGTGTTGGCAAGTCAACTCTTCGGCCTTCTGGTTTTGATAACACTGGCCACTTGCCCCCTGCAGCTTCTGTCCTGCACCACCCCCCACCCCATTCCCTCACCTTACTGTCAGACACAGCTGAGCTCCAGTTCAGGCTGGACTCCTTCCCAGGCACAGAGCACATGGAAACTGTGTCCCCTGCCCAGCCTATCAGCAGTGCTGACACTGCTGCATGACTGTAGGGGCTGCTGTGTTTCCATGTGCTGAGCTCCAGGAGGGAACAGAACCCAAGCAGTGCCTCACAGTAAGGTGTGGGAGACAGTGGGGAGAGCCAGAGACTAGGGAGTAGTGGAAAAAGGCAGAGATTGTGGGGAGATGGGGGAAGAGCAGAGGTGGTGGGGAGCTGGGGCAGGAAGACTGAAGGGGTAAGAAGGGAGGAGGGCACGGGGCAGAGGGCAAGGGGCCACCTGCATCCCCCCAACCACTGCAAATGGTTGACAAATTTAAGACAACCCTCTAATAATGAGATTCTGTAGCTGGAATATTATAACGAATGTAGACATTTTTCATATACAAAATCTCATTATTGGGGGGTCATCTTAAATTCAAGGTCAATTCAGATGCGAATAAATACGGTACCCCTTTCAACAGTGCAACTTAAAACCCCAACTCCAACAGTCTCAGAAGGACTCTTTGGGATGAGAATCTTCACCTGGTGCATAGCCCAAGCTATTCCAGATGGCACAAGGACTCACATTGTTCCACAATCACATTGACTGCACCAACTTCTGCAGCCTTTTAAGTGCAACTAACTCTGGTCCTGCTCTGCAGAAGCAGTCAGTTTCTATTTCTGCTGGGGTCTCCTCTGTGGGGAAGTCAATCCTTCTCCCAGCTGCACTCAGACCAGGCTCCTCCACAATTTCCTTGGGGCCTCTTCAAATGGTACTTGGAACATATCATGGAGCAAGGCCTCTCCCCTGCTCCATCCACACTACTCCAGGCAAAATGGCCCCATATTGAAGCTCCTTTCTCCTCATTTCCCCTCCTCCAAGCCCTGAAAGCAGCCTGGGGACTGTAGTTCAAACCACTGTCCTGTATTTAATTTTTGCAGGCTTTTTGTAGCCCCACCCACTCTCTCTCTCTTTCTCTCTCTCCTATTGGCGACTTCCTGCCAGCTCTCAAGGCAGGTTAGGAGCCATCATTCAACTCAGCTCCCTGGAGATCCGGGTGTCAAAAAAAACCTGCCACTGCTGATTAGCAGTGCAGCAAATATATGCATGTACAGTGCGTGTGGTTTGCAACACCACAAACCACACATGTGCACTCATTTGCACACACTCCAAGAGTGCAAGATTTGCGGGACCAGTAGGCAAGCAAACGAAATGGAGTATGGTTTGTAAGCTCAGTAATATGAGCATGCTCCTCATGCCAGAAGGGTTTTTTCCATTTTAACCTATAGCTATCTAAGATAAAATCCATAAGCAGCCCTGGAAGCAGGGACTTCTCACTGAGCTACAGAATCATGGTCCCTTTTTGCTTGCTCTCCACATTACTCAGTGACTCTGCTTCGACAGGAAAGATGCCAAAAAAAGTGCTTAATTGGTTGTTCTTGACTGTGCAAGCTTGTTATAATAAATATTGACTCTAAGACATCATAAGCTCTGAGACTTTATGACTGATCTTTTGTGATGGTAATTCACAGGTTGTGGAATCTGCTTGCCCTATATGACCATTTCTCTCTATCCCTTCCTCACTTACCCCCGCCACCTACAAAATGTTAGGGGTCTACCCTTTTGTAATTATCATCATCCCTGTGTAGAATGTACTTTTTAAAAAAGAATATTATATCATTTTTCAATCTCATTAACACTTCTATAGTATTTTAATTTTACTGTACTTTAGATACACACACAAAAACATGAATATTTCAGTGAAGCTATTTTGCAAATAATACAATTATTATTAAAACAAAATACTGTTATGTTGGGGAACAGGTTAAATTTAGCTGAAGCAAATAGACTTGGTGGCTGCCCGTCATTCAGGATACATTTAAGAAGCAGTTAGGCTCCTCTTAGAGTAAGAAGGCTTTAACAACAGGAGCCACAACACAAAACCTAAGGCACAATAAAGCTTTGTCAAATCAGCTTTATTTCATATAAGATACAGAGGTTTCACTGGGTATTGTTTTAGTTGCACTATATGTAAGAAGCAGAAGCAGCAAGAATCAACACAAATGGAAACAGAGAAAGCCTCAGAAAGATGGGAACCAGGAGCAGTTGTAACTTGGGAAAAACCTAAGGAAAAAAGTGTTTTCAGTGGTGTAATAACTAGAAAAGGAAGCTTGGAACATTGACCAAAGAAATTGCCCTCTCTTGTTTGATTTGTACTGTGTTTGGTGATACAGGATTTTGAGAAAATTCTCTGTAAATAAATAGGACTACAACAAATAAACACTTAACTCCATCACCAATTTATCCTTGTGATAAAAACAAAACCCCAAAATACCAAATATTGACTAACCATACAGTTCAGAAACAGCAACAATACATAAGTATATTAATAACGGAAACACAACAAATATTTAAATCAGACTCACTGATGGGCCATCCAAAATCATCTCTTCTACAGTTGTTACATCTAAGCTAAGTCTGTCTCCTAGAACTTCAAATATATATTTATATGAAGCATCAACTTTCATCTTTCGACTTTCTCTTGCATCTCTATATCGTGCCTAAAACAACAAACAAACAAAAGTATTAAAAAAACTAAAGTCTATGAAGTGGTTACAAACTATAACTCTTAACCTGCTCCCTAACTGAAAATTGTTACTAAATGTTATTGTTTATGTGAAACTTCCCTAATGGTACTCTAAGAAAAAGTAAACTCCTTCTGTGGTTTAACAGAAAA